TGTGATAATTGTCAGCGGATGCCTAATTTTGACAGCTGTCAATCTAATTGTACTCATACGGATGGCTTTCATAACTAAGAGGCTAGTCAAGTTGTGCAAGATCCTTTGTGACATTTGACATCGGCTTACATCAAGCGTGTGTACGGGTGGGCGGGCTTTCGGGCGGGCGGGCGTACGCTACGTCATAACCAAATTTTCTCAGATGGATAGTTTACCAAATTTTCTTACCCATGGTGCTCCGCTCTGCGCGCGCTTCGCGCGCGCGAGGAGCTCCGCTATTAGCTTAACTGAAACGACTTCCATTTGTTGTTTTCAGATATGTTTGATTCAGTTGTATTTGATAAAATAATGTTGTTTGATAGTTAGGTAAAGCTGTTTTGTCATACATTTGATTCAGTTGCATTTGATAAATGTTGCCTCACAGTTATTGGGGCCTCTTATTAGGCAAGTAATTTGAACTTTTTTTTAGTACTGTTGCCTCACAGTTATAAGGACCTCTTTAGTTATCTACTTTGAAGGGGCCACTTTTGGCATCCAATTTGAATATTTTGCCACATATCGCCAGCCCTCTGGAGATTTTTGCCAAAATCGCCAGCCTCCAAGGGGCCACTTTTGGCATCCAATTCAAATCGCCAGAGGCTGGCAATTTTTTGCCATTTTTGCCATTGCATGCATTTCTGGCGATTTTTGCCAAAATTGCTAATTTTGCTACAATCACCATTTTCGCCAAAATTGCCAGTCTCCAAGGGTCTGGGACGTTTATCGCTACTATCGCCAGCCCTCTGGCGATTTTTGCCAAAATCGCCAATTTCGCCAAAATCACCATTTTCGCCAAAATCGCCAGCCTCCAAGGGGCCACTTTTGGCATCCAAGTCAAATCGCCAGAGGCTGGTGATTTTTCGCCAGTTTCGCCATTGCATACATGGCAATTTTTGCCCAAATTGCCAAAATCGCCATTTTTGTCAAAATCGCCAGCCTTCAAGGGGCCACTTTTGGCATCCAATTCAAATCGCCAGCCGCTGGCGATTTTTCGCCAGTTTTGCCATTTTCGCCATTGCATGCATTTCTGGACATAAGTGCTGTCGCTAGGCTATATTGCCGTGTTCGGCGGCTAATTTTAGGCCCGCAGACCGTTGAAATCGAAAATCTCAAATAATTCCCAAACTCGGCCGCATTTTGAAATCTAAACCTCAGCAGTGTTATAAACTCATTAAAACCTTATTACAGACTGAAAATGAGAGTAAGTTAGGTTTTGAGCTGTGTCCACGATTTGCCGATTTTGCTCGATTTTTCTGTGCATTTGCTCTTAAACAGTTGACTGAAAATTAAACTTCGCAATGGATTTTTGAAGCTGAAGTCAGTCAATATGAAAGAAGGACAATTGGACGCGTTCAAGTTTAGTATTGGTAATAAAACTCCCTCGATACACGTGAGACTTTCAAGACACTCTGAAAGGCAATTTGACTGACTTGTTCGGTTTTTTATAGAGTAAGCAAACATTGATTTCCATGATCATGTTAACGAATATCCACATTTGGACTTGTCTTGTCTTAAGAAAAAAAGCCAAAGCTCACCGATGAATGCAGTGTATACCTGCCAACTTTTTCTGAGATATAAGCGTGAGATTTTTATCCTGGGAGTGCTGGGATTTTTAAAGACGACACGATCACTTCCGAAGATTCCCGAAGAACTCCGAAGTCTTCCGAAGACGTCCGAAGTCTTCCGAAGAAGTCCGAAGTCTTCCGAAGACGTCCGAAGTCTGCTGAAGGCGAAGTCATCGAAGTTATCTCAGTCCCAGTCTTAGGACGCGTATAAACGCGAGCTCGCTCCCAGTGCTTTTCACTTCAAAAATCAGAGATCGCGAGGAAGGTATTGTCATTTATTCATTTTACACATGGTTTTCGTTCCTTACATGGGTCTGAGTTAACATATTTTTGGAAATTGTGTCAAGCAGGACGGCAACAACTCACATTTTTCAATCAGGCGTGAGAAATTGGCCCGCAGGCGTGAGCCGGCGTGAGACTCACGCCTAAGGCGTGAGAGTTGGCAGGTATAGCAGTGCTGTAGTCACTTTCAGAACATGATTCATAAACAGAGTAGATACCAGAAGTAATGATACTAATATAGACAGCGTAGGATTGATGATATTAAACAATTCAAATTTTAGATCTGCGAACAATCCTTTACTGTTTAGTCATGACATAACAAAGACAAAGAAAAATGACATTTCTGTTTGTTAAGAGGATGAGCTAGACGTACAAATGTGTCATTGATGAATATTACCTAACAATAGCCATTTTAACATATCGAACATTAATCAAGGTTAACTGGACAAAACAAGAACAAATTAAGGAAACTCCACTGAAAATTTTGGATGAATCAAATAATTATTTTCTATACTAATGCGGTTAATACTGTCAAAAAAGACGAATGAAATCAATTCTACCGGTAAGAACTTTTTTTTTTGGCAAAACTGATACCTTTATTATCATTGCCGTTCTAATTTTATTCAATAAAATAGCGTAAACCGAAATTCAAATTATCATTTATTTGCTTACCATTTGGGGTGAACTGCAAAATGTTTTTATATTTATGTCCAATCGGTTAAATTTTTCTGGTTTGGTCGCTAATACGTTAACCAGACTCCCGTTAATATTGTTACTAACGGTTAAAAAAGCTAAGAGTTTCAATACATAACTCAGTAAATCTTCTGTGAATATTCGATGTTTCGTGGAATGTGATCCCAAGGCGATTTTCAAAATTGTTCTGGTTTCAGTACTCGCCAAATTTGGAAGCATAAAATTACAGCAAATTTTCGCCTCCACGTCACGGTTTCAAATCAGTTTACCCGTGGAAACACTCTCACAGCTCGAAATCAGTATACACTGATGAAATTTTCTAGATATTTCAGTAATTGTTAAGAATGAATTTACTAAGCAATTTTCAAACTCATTATTTTTGAGGCTATACAAGTTCAAACATAATTTCCCCACCATAAGTTTCAAAATCCGGAGACTCATTGGCGACTTTGCGCCAAAACTAACTTTGTTGAAATTTTCTCGAAGAAAGTACAGAGATTTATCGTTGTGCTAAAATCGTAAGTTTTAATATCAAACAAGAGTGAAATGCTATTTCAATGCTAACTGAAACTGAGCAACTGAGTGAAGTCATTTCCCAAATCCAAAACTAAATTAAGGCTTTCATTCATGATTTCAAACGGTTAGCAATAAATTAACAGTACTAGCTATACATCCATTGCACAAATCTTCCCAAGAATAATTCTGCTAACAGTATGCCAAGACAACATGCTCTCTTGCAGTATGGTTGCTGCGGGCGGCGGCAGTGAGTTCAAGCGAAGCTTGAATTTTCGGAGGATAGGAGAACAGTCCATGAAATTAAGACTTTTCATCACTTATTAAAGAACAGTGCTTTGGAATCATCTCATCTTACATGTATTAGTAGCATGTATATCTACTCTAGCTAGTGGATGATCCTTTCCTCAAATTTTGTTCAATTTTAGTTTGCTAGATACATGTATGACTTTCGACAGTAGAGATTTACAAGTTAGGCTAAATTAAACAGTTTGCAAACATCGAGGACTAGTCAAGGTAAGTAGACAATCAACGCCGTCAGGCGTTTATTCGAACGTAAGTCAGAAATTAGCTTTAAAAGATTAACTCTGACCAACAAAACCAACCGTATTAATAATCAGGCCAACGGTAAGATGGTGGTCGTCAATGATAAATTTAGTGAATTTAAACAAAATTGATATCTACAACAACTGATTAACACGGCCAATAAACTAGTAATAAAAAATGGTGTTCAACACAGCGACATCAAAAGCAAGTGACGTGTTGAGTAATACAGCGATTTGAAAGTAAGCTTCATTCATTTTTACAGCTCGACAAGCTACAAAACCAAAATCTACTTTCTCAAATCATTTACCGCTTACTTACAAAGGAAACTTAATGAATATGTTCAACAAATAATTGTCCAGTTAACATCACCCTCTTCGTACAGATTTTGTGAGCCGAACTGCTACACGCCACAATGATGAATCATCGAGCTACTGTGTAAGATCACTAAAGTTAACTGGTTACGCTGAGATTATTTACTGGTTGGAATTAGAATTGACGATAATGGACAATGGCCACTAGGACGGGAGGAGAGTTTGAAATTGCGAGGATCAATAATGTACCACTCTTTCAATTCGAGGTCAGTTTAGGGAAGTAATTTCCCTAAGTGCAGAGGAGTTAAAATAACCCCAAAAAAGGAGTTATCCTGTACCTAAAATTTTTACTCCACTTTCAGAGTTAAATTAACTCCAAAAAGAGTAAAAACAACCCATGTAAGGAGTAAAAGTAACCCCATTTCGGAGTTATTTTAACTCCAGACTGGGAGTAAAAAGAACTCCTTTTCAGGAGTAAAAATGACCCCAAATTCGGAGTTAAATTAGGAGGTAAAGTAACCCCCAAAAAGGGGTTGTCCATTTTTGGAGTTATAATAACTTCCTAAAAATTACGGTGTGTTGTCATCTCGCGGTATCTCAGACTGCGAGTTTTCTTTCAATTGTACAGTTATACCTTGGGTTATATATAAAAAATCAAAGAACAACATCATGTATTTCTAGTTAAAGTTGTGATCCGTTGGTTAGAATGAGTTGTAACAAACAAATGTGTACTATGAGTAGTACAAAAATCTTGCAAAGACTGGAGGCCTTTCATTGGGCGAATTGATTACTTAGCAACCTAATGTTTCCGCAAGCGAATGAAATTGTTTAATTGAAATTAGAATACATATGTAGGCTGTTTAGTGAGGCAGCATGTTTAAACGAGAAACTTGTTATTCAAACAAGGAAATTCTATGATTCAATCCTTAGTAGAGTGTTAGGATGCACAGTGTTCGGAGCTTTCTTTTTTTTAATCTCGAGCGTTATTTAAATTATGCTTTATGATTCAATGTTTCTTTATTTCTTCCTTCTCCTAGTTCTCATAACTTTCATGAAGACAGATCACCAGTTCAGGAATGAAAACATATGGCAAACAAGGTAATTCAAATATACGCCACGCGTGCTCATATCTCCTTCGGCCCATTGTAATGTCCGTTTTTTCTAAAACATATTCCAAGTACACGGATCAGAGTAGGAATTACTCTTTAATATAATACAAAGAACGATTTAAGGTAAAATGTCAGTAAGTACAATTTAACAATCATTTATCATGGTACAAAAAGAAAGGGTTTTCAGGTGTCCAATGATGGTATAAAACTAGCTTGATTCCTGTTTTCCCTCCTCTATATCAAACAACATGCAGTAAATACAGTATAAAACAACTACAAAATGTCTTATTTGGATATAGTGTTGTGTTGACTTCAGCAAAGAGAAATTTTCGAATTTGGATGTGCGTAAATTCTGTGCTTTATTCTGGATAGAAAAATAAACAAAGAAAATTGTACTTCTGTTGGCTTTTCAGTGATATTGTGCAAAAAAATCCTAATCTAAACAAGGACAGATTATGCTAAGACTCAGTCTTGCCAACTTTACTCAGTTTAATTTTTTGCCCACCATACAAAAAGGTGATAAGCTGACAGGCATCCTCGTAAAGCCACAACACCGAATCAAAAGATCGCAGCGGGTAAAGGGCAAAATGGAGCTATACCAAGAGATAGATCCTACACAAAATAAAATATTAATAAATATTATAAAAGATGTTGTGGCTGGTATAGATTTGCGACCATGGAACAAAAGCATGATCTGCACAGGAACTCAGTTACTGAAAAATACAAAACACGAATTTCCTCATGTTAAGCAAGAAGAACCAATCAAAATGCTCGACGTTTTTTACACGTGAAACGTAATAATTGGGGCATGATTGCGTTAAAACGTGATTATAAAACACGAAAAGTTAAGAACCTATGGCAAGAGAGATAAATTAAGCTGTCCCGATAATCATTGCTATCATTTGCATTGGCAATTGTGAAACGAAGGTAAGAGTGAAGTTCAAGAGACCCTGTAACAGTCCTCAAGACTCCATAGCATTCAAGCCGCTCATTTTTCCAAGGCATATCTTAAGTATTAAATATATCGTTAATCTTATTATTGTAATTTTAGTTGAACTAACCAAAATATTTCATACTCTGATCAATCGTATAGTGCACAACGCTAGAGGACCTTGATGATGCGATCAGGAGTTAAAATGACCACCATGTTGTTTGTACTGATTTTATTGCTCATGGCCGCTTTCTGCTCTGCTCAGAACAACAAGCAATCAGACACCAAGGTAACTGCATTCATACTCATGGTCACTACAGATTTTTTAATACAGTTGATGTTAATTCATGGAGAAACTAGGAATAGCGTATCATGTGTTAATTTTACTAAATCAGTCTGCAGGTTAATTAAGATAAGAAATGCTCAAAATGCATTCAAAAATTAAGATGGTATGATTACTTGTGCAATCGAACGCTATAGAGAAAGAACATTTTTACGTTTAAAACAATCAAAAGTAACATCATTACCAACGTGGTAAATACTATAACATATCTTCTTTACTGAAACATAAATCATGTTCTTTAATCACAATTTACGCGCGTTCATCTAAGAAACCCAAAATAAACACTTGCAATTAACGAAAATCAGTAAGCACTTCCTCACATGGATTGAAACGCTAAACGACAGACAAAATTGTCCAAGGCTACTAGCATTTTGTCATTAAATTTTCTGTTTTTTTTTTTGGAGCCTGTTCAATCTTGTCCATATTGTAATAATGGTGGACAAACCGGGATGTGGACATACATGACATGTGTCCCAGGAGCCCCTGGGGCACCTGGTCGAGATGGAGCCAAAGGAGACGTGGGTAGCCCGGGCAAAACTGGGACCAAAGGACCCCGTGGTGCTGATGGAAAGAAAGGAGCAAAGGGAGAGACCGGGATCCAGGGATCCACCGGACAAAAAGGACAGCGAGGGGACAAAGGCGGCAGTGGAACGCCACGACTGGCTTCGCACATGAACTGGAAGGAGTGCACTTGGAAAAGAATGGACACAAAAAATTCAGGACTGATATATGTAAGTGTGCAACGTCCCTTTATCACTAGAATTAAAGGAACAGTATCCCGTTACTGCGCATGTACCAAACTTTGATTTTCTGACAGGATGTCGCGAATTCAAAAGATACGAAAAGGGTAACAGAACCTTGAAAAATCCGTTTGCATTGCGCTTGGCCAAGTTTGATACTACACTAAAACTTCTCAGAATTACAGATCAATGATATATTGTTCACGTTAACTTTCGATTTGGGCGAAATCGGGATAATATGGCGTTACTTTCATTGCCGTTGGTCTGAAGCCCGAGAGAAGGGAAACGCTTAATGACAGTTGAAGGCTTATTTCTCCCGCCAGCTGACCACATAAGCTCAGATAATCGTGAAAGGAATACGCAGAAATGGAATAGTAACAATAAAGACCATGTAAGAAAGAAACCATTGAGACATGGATGTGACGCACAACGTTGTGCAACGACGTGTTAGTAACTTTTAAATAAACCTCCCTACGGCGAACAAATCAAACTAACAGGCACTACTTGTCACTGACATGTTTAGGGAAAGCATAATATAATGTTTGACTAACCTTTGCGATGCTAATTCATCGCGTTGAGATTGCATTGTCATTCATGTCTTGCGACCTTTTGAGGCTAGAACGCAAGAAATATTCCTGGATTTGACTTGTCACAAATTGACCTCTGATACGAGTTTCACAGCAGAAAAGCTGTTTTAAAAGCGAGCTGAACGAGCTTTTCTTGTCGCGAGGTGGGCGAGCTACGACAAAATCGCGGTACGTCTTCGTGCCGCAAGCCAATTTTTAAATAGAACGAAATACTTCCTCGAAAGTCTAAAATATTACTTGAGAATGTAAACAACAAATCTCCGTCGATCGGCAGGTGCGTTCCGGAAGGAAATCTTGTCGCATCAATATGACAGTTTTATTAGCTGTCGTCACACTACAGACTTTTTACCTAGGTAAACTCGACTTGTTCACAGTTTAACTAGGGAAACTTGATTTTTTAAGTGTGACCGATTTTTCCCTAGGTAATTTACCTCGAGGATATTTTATCGTCTGGGTCTTGGATATGTCTCGATAACAATAAACTTTCCCCTGACAGCTACCCCAAAGCGATAGCTAGGGGAAAATGAAATACCGAGGTTGCTAGCCAATAGACGCTCATCGGCGAAGGCCTTGATGACAGAACCGGACATAGCTCACGTGGTGAAAGAAATTTTGGGGGCACGAGTCGTCTACATTTTCGCCTGTCTTTACCTTGCATGTTGAATTAGCCTAAGAAATACAGCGAGATAAAAGAAAAAAAAAACGTCTCCTTGATCCGCTAGATCCCTGCGCGTCTTGCCTCTTTGAATTTACGTTCCAAAAAATTCAGCTGTCCGTGAAAACCTTGGGAGTCGATATCAGTACTGTGACTTTACCAGAATTTTTTACCGAGGTAAAACAAAACCCGAGATGAATTTACCACGGGAAATTTTTGCTGAATTTGCCCTAGGTAAATCGGTTTTGCCTAGGTAAAAGTCCGTAGTGTGACCACAGCTATTGTCTTTTTAAGAAAAAAAAGATGACGCTCGCCAGAAATCTCGAACCAAGTTTTTCGTGCTAATTACATGAATGTGTTTCTTAATGATTTAAGCTGCTGTCAAATCCAGCCTGGTGCGGGCTCATTGTCACGATACACATACAGTCAAAAACTGGTCGCTGAACGAAACTACTGTCAATTGCTTTGAAATGTGTTCAAAATGCAAAAAATCATCTCTCGAACGAGAGGTTTTGGGTGAATATCAGGAAATTTAGCCGTGCAGTCCATATTGAAATTTACGGCGTTTTCAAAGTTTAAAACCAAAAACAGATTTAATCGGCAAGTGCAAAATGTGACTGGATCTGAAAGTAAGTATCTTCAACTCCCAGAAACGATCAGAGGCCGTTGTATACGACAAACTCGGACCCGAACTGGAACACTTTAACAGTTACTGCATTGGGCTCTGTTAAGCATTGTATTCGTTGACACTGCCATGCAAATCCTTTACAGTCAATTTGCAAATCTGTTTACTTTAAAACCGAAACGGATAAAACTTTCAAGGTACTTTTAAATGCAGATTCATTTAGTTAAACAAAAATATAATAGAATTGATAGGGTGTCGGCGGATACGAATGCCTTTTAGGACAGTTTTTTTCGATTTTTGAACTCTTCTTAGTCATTTCTCTTTAATGAAAATTGCCTTTAGTTGATATTTTCTGAGTGTCTGAAAGTGTCACCTCTCATAGCCTGCGAACGGCAGAAGTTTCTCCTCGCTCATCGCCGCTGAGTGACGTTTCGCGAGGAGGAACGTATGCGACTCAGCGACAGAAATTCCATACTGATGACGCAAAATCTGTCCGGAATCCGGTCAGAAGCGCTAACTGGTCGACGGAGTAGTTTCATTGTTCTAGCTATTGTTGGCAAATGACAGACAAAAGACAAAAGGCGGCAAAGGTCAAATGTAAAAGCGATGAATCTCTAACAAAACAGTCAATATTTGTGGAATATAGTCTTCTCTAGAAGTAGCATTTGAGTTTTCAGTGCTGGAGCTCATTCGCAGATGAACACAACACTTTTTTAAAATCGACCAGGACAAACGTAAAATCGAACAAATTTGCGTTTGGAAACATCGATTTACGTCACCAGTATGGAATTTCTGTCGTTGAATCGCAGAAGTTCCTCCTCGCGAAACGTCCCTCAGCGGCGAAAAGCGAGGAGAAACGTCTGCCGTTCACAGGCTACACCTTTCACCGCGCATGTCGATTCGAAATTTCTGGCGATGATTATATTCTACTAGTTCAAACCAAGTAATTTTCACTAAAAAGATTGATTGTCATAGTACACAGATGCTGTTTACTTTCTTTATATGTTCTTCAGAACTGTGAATACGCGGGCTCTTCCCTCCATGTCTACTATGCTGGTAACCTCAGGTATGCCTTATGTGACAGCTGTTGTAGTCGCTGGTATTTCACCTTCAATGGAGCCGAGTGCAGCTCTCCAGGAACTATTGATGGTGCATTCTACTTGGAAACAGGCCGAAACCACAATCCTCATCTTCACCGCCACATTGAAGGTCACTGCAATAACATTCAGAAAGGAAAGGTGAGAGTGGGATTCTGGGTTGGAAAGTGCGTCTCAGGCCATAAGCTTGCTGACGCCCAAACTGGTTGGCATTCACTGAGTCGTATCTTCATTGAAGAAGTGCCAAAAGCCCAGCAGTAACCACGAGTCATGTGATTATCTGGACGTTTTAAAACATAAGGGTGTTAGCAGAGTCTTAGCAGATATGTAATGATTGGGTAAGGTAATCATGATCAATGTTTGATTACTTAATAAAAAACTGAACAAGTCAGTCAAATTGCCTTTTAGTGTCTTGAAAGTCTCACTTATATGGGGGGAGTTTTGTTCAGTAGCGTTGTCACCTGCTTTCTTTGCTACGTTTTAAGCTCGTACCTCAACGTTAAATGCCATAGCAATATCCACGAATATGTGGGTTTGGGAAGCGCAAACGCTGTTGACAAATGCAAATGTGTACAGTGTTGATCTGTAACAAGAGCATTGACAAATAACCTTAAAACACAAAACAACACAACAACGAAATGAAAATGTTGATCTTACATCGTACATATTCCTACACCTAAATCAAAATTTTCGGTGGTTTGTTGATTTTATCTATATTTCGTACATGGAAAAGGTCGTAAGCAAAATTTAAACTATAAATCGTTTTCATATGACGTCACGCCGGCCATATTGGTGAAGAGAAACAATTCCTGCAACCTCGTCCCCAGGGTCTTCTCGCTTTCCAATATGGCGGCGGTAGGAGAGAAGACCCTGGCACACAGCGAACTAAAACGATCGCTGATTGGTGCATTCCATTACTCGTTCATACGTGCGCTCTCATTGGTTTATTCCTTCCAAAACAAAGATGGTTACCCTTTGAGGGCTTCGTAGAGGCTTAGAAGTGCTTTCTTCAGTGTTTGAGACCTAAAAGGTGGACAGAATTCAGGTCTGATTGTTCGAAAAACTGTGACTGTACCGTTGGAAGGCAAAGATTCGAAGATAGTGATATCTGAAATGGTAATCGCTGGGAATATTGTAACGCGTAGAGGTATTTCTTTTGCTCGTGCTATTTGGTTTGTGTGTTGTAAATTACTAAAGATTTTTTTTCTTTAATTCCCGATTTATCAAAGAATACTTGCAAGGCTTCAGCTCATCAATAAATTTAGCTGTCCGTTTGTAAAGGTTTAGTATTGTTCTGCCTTTTGTTTTCTTTGAACAAAAGCTGTATGCACAATATTATTAATGTATGGGGTTATACGGAAATCTTGCATAATCTGCGCTTTGTCTCAGCAGTTTTTAGTCTAGTGAAACATTTTTTTTCATTTGATCGTAACATGGGCGTAACCTGGCCTTCTTTTAATTTTTTCCACTGTGTTTTTGAAGGGGGATGAGGAGCGAGAGAGGCAGATGTCGAAACAAAACTAAACATTGAAGCCAAACATAGTGTCGCTATCCTTTGATATTTTTAATCCTGACTTTTCATTTATTCAGTTTTTAGTGTCACAATAATGATAATTTATTATTTGCTCATTTCATTGGCAGTAAAATACAGCTAAATACAGAGACATCGGGAGAATAAACTGTTTCCTTTTCTCAGAAATGAAAAACGTGCATATTAATGTATTGAAGCTTGTGGGATTTCTTTCTAGTTGCAAAAATAAAATAATGAAAGCACATGATGTCTTTTATTTTATCAAGTTGAAAACAGCGATCAGCCCATGCAAGGAAATCTGACAGTCTTGGATTCTCAATTCTGCGCCGTGGATACTGCATTCTGGATTCTTTGTCAGTGAAACTTGGATTCCGGATTCCAGTTATTATAAGTGGGATCCAGAGTACTTCCAGATTCCAGATTCCAAGAGAAAAATTTAGCAGATTCCGGATTCCCTTACATGGGGTGACAGTGACCCTAAGATAAATACGTTTTCTGTCAAACTAAACCTGTCAATTGAACTTCTAATTACTGTAGGCTAAGTGTGCATGTTGTTCTTGTCACTATATGCTTGAAAAGGGGGTTTGTGGACCAGGTGAAATGGTGGCTGGTACTGTAGTATTCCAAAACCAGCTGGGTATGATTATGAAGCAGCTATAATTCAGTTTATTTTTTTAAATCCAAGTTTTCGAACTGCTTCAGAGGGTGCGTATATCACTATCCACTGAATAAACAAGAGCGGAAGGGGCCTGCAGCATCTTGATCATGGGATTTTTCTTGTAGGGAAGTAGAGGCTTTTGAAGTGTTTTGCTCCAGAGTCCTCATTAGCATAGTGAGCTTTTAGTTGCCTAGTCACGGCCAATGAGTTTCGGGTCACTTGGTCCCAAGCGAAATAGTGAAACAGCTTCCCTCCAGTTTGCTTAAGATAAGTCACCGAAATGAATTGACCAAGAAGGCCTGAGAAAATGCCACACAGGGACAAGGCAAGGCTTTTAGCTTGTTTAGGTGTTGGGCTGTGAGGTTGCAGCTGTTAGATGTGCTGGCTTAAATACTTCCAAAGTCTACTTAAAGGTGTTGGTTAGTCTTAGTCATAGTGTCTGTATCATAATCATATCATCAGAAATAATCAGATTAACCCAACTATTAAACTGATAATCAATTATAGTAGATTATAGTTTTGTGCCCCCTGTGCGCCACTTTCAACACTGAAAATAGTTTTGTAAGTAAACA